AGCTGCTGCAGCAGCAGCAGCAGCAGAAGCAGCAGGAGCAGCAGCAGCAGGAGCAGCAGCAACAGCAGCAGCAGGAGCAGCAGCAGCTGCAGCAGCAGGAGCAGCAGCAGCAGCAGCAGCAGCAGCAGCAGAAAGTGCTGCAGCAGCAAGGGTGGGGGGTCAGGTGGGGCGGATGCGGCGGCAGTTTGCTGCTTTATAAACCCCATCTTCTATCTCTTTTATAATTAAAAAAAAAACAAAAAAATATTTATTTTATTTTTTTATTTATTTTTTTTTTTTTTATTTTTTATTTTTTTATTTTTTTTATTTACAATTAAACAAAAGAATATCATTGTGACAGTAGACAAGCCGCTCCAGCTGCTGCTGCTGCTGCTGTTGCTGCTGCTGTTGCTGTTGCTGTTGCTGCTGCAGATGTTGCTGCTGCGGCAGCTGTTGCTGCTGCTGTTTCTGCTGCTGCTGCTGTTGCTGCTGTTGCTGTTGCTGCTGCTGCTGCAATCCACTGACATGTAGGCTGTACTTTTTGTTTGTTTGCGCCGTTTGTGTTTTTCTGTTTTTGTTTTTTGTTTTTATTTTTTTGTTTTTATTTTTTTGTTTTTGTTGCATTTGTTTTTTCCTTGTTATTTATTTGTTTACTATACTATTTATTTATACTTTTATTTATCTACAATTTACTATTTATATATTTATATATTTATATATTTATTTATTTATTTATTTTTATTTATTTATTTATTTATTTATTTATTTCGGTTTATCGTTTAAGCAGACGATAAGAAAATCGAAAAGTATGAAAACAACTAAACACAAAAAACCCACAAACAAATACACATACACCCCAACCAGGTGTACATACACCCCAACCGGGTGTACATACACCCCAGCAAGGTGCATATACACCCCAACCAGGTGCATATACACCCCAGTGGGTTGTATATACACCTCAGTGGGGTGTATATACACCACAAAAAGGTGCCTATACACCCCAAAAAGGTGCATATACACCCCAAAACGTCCTACATACACCACAGTAAGGTGTATATACACCCCAATAGGGTGTATATACACCCCAGTAAGGTGTATATACACCCCAATGGGGTGTATATACACCCTACAAAGGGGTGTATATATATATACACCCCAAAGAGTTGTATATACACCGTGAGGAGCTGCGTATACACCCGAAAGAGTTGTATATTTACAGCTCAAAGAGCTGCATATACACCCCAAAGAGTTGCATATACACCGCAAGTAGCTGCAGATACAGCTCAGGAGTTGTATATACACCTGGTGGGGGTGTGAATACACCCCAAAGAGGTGCCTATACACCCCAGCAATAGGGTGTTTAGGGTTTATGGTTTAGGGTTTAGGGTTGCCTATACACCCCAGCTGGCTGCATAGAAAACAGCGAGAAATGAATGAGGTGTATACGCACCTTCATATGTTCCCTATACACCCCAAATAGCTGCCTATACACCCCAAATAGCTGCCCATACACCCCAACTAGCTGCATATACACCCGAAACAGCTGCATATACACCCCAAACAGCTGCATATACACCCGAAATAGGTGCCTATACACCCGAAATAGGTGCCTATACACCCCAATATGTTACTGTTTATATGTGGTGATGCAGGCAGAGCACCCCACAAAGAAAACAACAAATTCTTTCCTTTTCTTTCCTGTGTTTTTCTCTCCTTTATATTTATTTATTTAATTTTATTTATTTATTTATTTATTTTATTTTATTTATTTATTTATTTATTTAAACCCATTGTTTTTCATGGAAGGTTTGATTGGGTTTATCTATTCTGGTGTATCCATGTGCCCCAAAGTAATCTCTTTGTGCTTGTATAATATTTGTAGATAAAGAAAGAGAAGAAAAAGAACAAATATAATTATATGCTGCTGCTATTGCAGGCAAAGAAACAAAACAATATACACCTGAATATGTATTGTAGCTTTTATATAAACCCCAACATATTACGCGACGTAGAGAAGG